TGGTTTTTTTTTTTTTTTTTTTTAGTTTTCCTACTATAAGCGTAAACAAGATTAAAAACCAGGCGTCTTTCGAACGAATTATTTTCAGATACGCAAACGTGTTGATATATTTCCGTAAGGAACAATAGGACGCGTCGATCGATGTACGAACAATACGTAGTCCCATTTGTAAAAAAAAACGTCGATATCTTCGGAAACTCGGAAAAGATGACTCGAAATGATCGGATCACGATGTTCGTCTTTCTAAACCAAGTAAGCGACTCTGTTTTGATACAGTTCATTGTACCGACAAAAATCACCGAGGTATTAAGAAATCCAAGATAGAGGGAAATCCAGGCTGTATATTTTAATCGGAAACGTCGATGTTCGTCGACGAACGCCTCTCTTCATCTCCATCAATCTCTACTTTGGTAACTGTACTCTTACCGCCTATGCTGGTACCATTTCTCTGCCTCTGTCCCTTCTTTCTTGCTCTATTTCTTACGCTATTGTCCTTTCGACGCACCGAGGTCCTTCTCTCCCATCCAACCATCCACCCCACGAACGCTACGTACGAGAAAATTTCTCCTGCGTCTCTCTGTCGTTCTCTCTATTCTCCTCCTGTTCCTAGCGTAAACGTAGCCGTTGTTCCGTACAGTTGAAACGGTGCACGATCAACTACTCGCGTGTGTTGCATAGAACGATGGAACCGCATAGAAGCTTTACAGAATGCCGCAAAATTCACAGATACCTTTGGCCAAATGTATCGACGATGATCGCAAGGGATGATGAATTTGGCGAGCAATCTGTATAACGAAAGGTAGAAGTAAATAATAGCTTGATCTTGGCGAAGTCTGTGCTAGACCCATCCGCGCTATAATTCCTATGTCTCTTCGAACGAGATATTCGACGTCTCGTTGGATTTACAAAAGTCGCCGGATTTTCTCAAGCGTCGCCGCAAGTTTCCACGAAACTTGCTTCTCGCGGACGTGTAGCAATTTTCACGGATGTTCGTTCCTTTGTAAATCCAAACGAGAGTGCGTCGTGCATGAATCCGCATTTTGAATCAACGACGGGGATACCTTGAACTGTACGTATTACGCATGAAACGCATGATCGCATGAGATAAGATTGTAACTTGCATGCGCACGACGAAACATCCTATGATACTTTGTTCGATCACACTATACCTTGTTGCCTTGTCGAAACTACGACTCTTGAGTTCCGTTTTTTTAGAGAAAATCGCGCGTATCGGTTACCACCGCGTAACAAGATCTTGAAAGCTCCTCTGTCTTCCGTGAGTTTCGACCAACTATCGATTAATTCACGATATATATATATATATTGCATACTGTCGGGGCAATTAACGCTTCTTCTTCTAACGTTGCGCTTGTTCGAAACGAAGCTTCCCGCGTGTAATACCGCTCCATCCTCTGTACGTTTCGATGTCGCTTGATCGCTCGTCCCGCGTTTGCTCGGTGAAACGGAGCGCGAAAGTAATCCGGTGAAAGCGATTACTCGAGTCGAACATTCACCGAATCGCTTGCAGATCGAAGGGCCAAAAAGAACTCGGAGAACGTTAGACGCGTTACGAGTTTCAACGTTCCCTGCGTAAAGCTTTTGCTTGAGTAAAGAGTTGATTTGGCAGAAAGTTTAGATTAGTAGCGACAGAGTTTTCACGATACGCTTGTATCCTTTGATTTGCGAGCGGTGCTTTTCCAAGAAACGATTCGATCGTATCTATTCGTCGAGACTGCACCTCGACGAAATAGGCTAAAAAAAGAAAAAAAGAAAAAAAAGAAAAAGAAGAAGAAGAAAAGAAAAGAAATCTAGAAAACGTGGAAACAAGTACGATTTTTCTCGATCGCTTCGACGTTGCAAAATCATTCATCAACCGAACAAACATATTTACCATCTGACGAACCAACGGCCGTAACTTCTCATCAGAACTCGACGAAACAAAGACAACGAACGAAACAAATTTAGTGGCACTTGAATATCTTCCTTTTTTTTTCTTTTTAGTGAAACTCATCGAAATGTCACGTAGCAAAGATAAGAAAGGAACCGATCAGACTATGAAATAATAGTTAGCCTCTATTATCAATAGGCTCATCATTCTCTTCCCGAAACCCTTTCATTATACCGAAAGTATATATATATATTCGCTGGCAGAATCAACCAACGTGGTAAAGACACGACGATCGGAACGACGCGTAATTGAAAAGAAAGAAAGATGAAAGAATAACGCGAAACGACGAGTCATAACCATTTCTCTGCTATTTATTCGACATTACCTTTCTTTCCTTTTAACCGTGATCGACATTGAACCATGATCAGCCGTATATTATTATTATTTTTTTTTCTAATATATATATATTATTAATAATATGATTGTGACGTGAACAATCGCTTTTTGCCATTGAACTTAACCCGATTGAAGCTTGACATGTAGCATAAGCTTGACATAAAATACCTTTCTCAAACGCAACTGTCCGGTACAGAGATCCGCTGTAGCGTTCGCCCAGTTTAATGACAACAATTCGCTGAAACGAATTAACGAAAGAAAAGTAAAGAGCAAACGAAGAGAGACATTAAACTGCGCGAAAGTCGCGAAGGGAATTCTTGGTTAAATTCTTTGACGATTCATCGTGCGGAGAACCTGTGCTCGAGAAAAGATATCGTCGAAACGATTTAGATATGTACAGTTGTTACAAGAGAGAGTGTTGTTCACATCGGAATCGAGATACTTTATCGAGATACAAAAGAAAGAAAAGAAACGAAAAAAGAAAACAGATAGAGAAGAAGTAAAAAGATAATAATTAATAAGAAAGATAATATAGAAAGGTGGAAAAAAAGTTCGAGTCCGATGTGCGACAGTGTAATACGTAGATGTTATACGGCATGTAACTCGTAAGTTATACGCAGAGGCACGAAAGTATTGATCCATATACGTACAAGATGTACCGTTAAGAGAAAACAACGATTCGCTTTTCGATCAAAAACACGAGACGTGTGGAAAGTCGTACGTCGAGAGTTCGTTTTCGCTCGAAACGGTGACTTTGCGATGGAGACGATTTCTCGCGTGCCTCGGTGGTGGTACTCGCTTGCTTTTTATAGTGAAAACAGTTGGCAAGAAAAAAGTATCGATTTATTATAATACAACCCACTTAATATAGAAAGAGTTCGATCGAATCCGATTCAACTCGCAGTCCATAGGTGTTTATCGTACGTATGATAATTTTCTCGCTTTTATTTTCTAACAAACGTTGTTCCCGCTCTATTTGTACAAGGGGCAACGTGTACGAGCTTTTCTTTCGATTAATCTCAACACGCATTCCAACTATCGGATTGCTTTGCGATAAGAAGGACGTTTCGTTGCGCGAGTAGAGTATCAGTTTGGTAATCGATGCGATGATTCGAACGAGAAGCGACGGTGGCCGATGTGTCTGTGCCGCGCCAGACTTTCGAAATTTCTCACGCCTTTACGTGCAAGCTTGTTCATCTTGATCAAAGCCTTCGTCACGCTTAACTTACTCGTGCTTGTCGTCTCGAACGATCGATTATCGATAGAAGCTGAACAAAGCTGGCCGTCTAACGAAATTTTCCCTAAGACGATGCGACTAAAATAGCGATTCTGCTCCAATTCTTATTATTTCGCAATTAATTTCTTTTGCGTTGATCTCGCAATGAAAATGAGCTTGTTCATCCGTTAAATCGACTTATATTTATATCTGATTTATATTATATTCTGGACGGCAACTGGTTTCTCTTCTTCCCGTTGTTTAAACGATGAGTCGTAATCGTCGTCGACATATCGGTCATCTTTGCTGTGACGAACGAAGCGAAACGAAACGAAACGAAACGAAAGAAAAAGAAAAGGAGATAGAATAACGGAAAAAGGAGAGGAATAGAAAAATTGGTCGAAGGATGGATCGTTGTTTACACGAAAGATCGTGAGAATATAAGTTTCTTCTACGGAGACCCTGTCGCAGGGTAAAAAGAAGCGAGAGGGCGGTCCACCGACCGGAGCTACGACAGGACCGAACGAGATCGTAACCTGCACCAATTGTGGACCCAACCCTTGCACGCACACGACCACCAATGGATGCACAGCCGAGGTATGTTAATTAACTGTACTGCCGTTGTGTAACTTCGAAATAGCCCATTTCCTCATTTCGACAATCGATATTTCCTATCCTCTAAGTATGCAGAGTGTGCCAGTATGTTATATTCGACTCCAGGAGCACGTGGTATTCGTCAAATAAGCAAAAAGGCTCGTAATAGCTGCGCTGTGCTTGACGAGTATACTCGTCACGAAGAAATGGCAATATTTCGTGATACGACGAGCCCTGTTAGCAGCAAAATTAAAAAATAGAACAATCATTTAACTACAATTTAATTCTGTATTATAACAGCCACACATGCGCTGTGCTTGACGAGTATACTCGTCACCAAGAAATGACAATATTTCGTGATACGACGAGCTCTGTCAATAGCAAAATTGAAAAGTAAAACAATCATTTCACTACAAGTTAATTCTATATTATAACAGCCGCACATGCGCTGTGCTTGACGAGTATACTCGTCGTCGCTTATTTTTTGCGACACATTTTAGGTACACACTTTGCAAAGAGATCGCAACAGCTGACTGGTTAATATTTGTCAAGATGTAACACCAAAAGGCGAACGAACTTATTACAAAATTTGGTACATTCTTCGAAAGTTTTCGAGACACTCTGCATACGCGAGCAGATCCATTCCGCGTGTTTTCGTTTCACGATCCTCTTCTGCATCGGAAACACCTATCGCTAACGATCCTTTTGTTTCAGCTAAGAAAAAAGGAACCACCGCATCCGATAAGAGTGGCAAAGACGATCGACGTGATAGCAAGAATCACTTTTCCGGTCGCCTATTTCATGTTCCTCACCTTTTTCTTCATCCACTACAAAGGCACCTCGTAGACCAACACCAGAGGCAACAGTCCAGAAGAATTCCACCGTTGATCATCGGAGGCCGCGTCACTCGGCGTGGCTCTATCTCAAGTCGAATTTCAATTGTCGAAGAGAAGCGTCGAAGCTAGAGAACCAAAGGGGAGCAGACACGTGACGCGTAGGTCATCTGGAAAGTGTGTATCGAAATCGGAAGGGACGAACTCGTCGGATAAACTGGACGGTCGAAGAAAGTGTTCGGCGATCTCTCCGCCGCTCGAGGAAGCGAAACATCGTCGGAGAAAGGATTCGCGAGAAAGTGTGTTTCGATGTCGATGCATGAAACCAGAAATGATCGCGTCTATACGTAGGTGGTATTCCGTGGAAAACAAAAATGTACTTACTAACGATATGACGTACGAAACGGTATCGATCGGCGCGTGATCGAGCGAAGATCGTGCCGAAGTCTTAGGCTGTCTTTTCTTTGGCTTCGAAGGGCGAAGAAACGGGGAGCGCAAGAGAAATTGGTGGATTCGCCTCTTCCTCATCTTTTCTCACATGTGATAATTCTTAAAAGCACTCTTTATCGAAAAAGCGAAAAGCAAGCTTGGGTCCGGTGAATAGTCGACGAAGGGCATACATACGAAGAGAAATAGGGTACGAGGAAGCGAGAAAGAAGCGAGTGAAAGGGAGGGAGAGAAAGAGAGGGAGAGAGAGAGAGAGAGAGAGAGCGAGAGATAGAACGAAAACGCGGACACACTCTTTAAAAATCTTTCTTCTACTATCGGATATAGTGATGTCGCTAATTCGAGAATGCTTCTGAAAACTAGCTAAAAAGGAAAAAAAAGAAATCAAATTTACTTAATTAAGGAATGTTATTACTTGTAATCTCACTATAAATAGGTAAGGTCGATGTAAGTGTCGTCCATGAAATCGCTAACTCGTGATTCGCCTTTTACTTAAATATCGACCTTTTTTCTGTACTTTATCGTGATTACGATACCGTGGCAAAAATCAACGTGATCGCAAGTTAGCTCTATATTCGTAGACCTTTAAAAAAAGACGTTCGCTTTCAATCGAGGGAGCAGGGCTGCGAAGCATACAATTCCGTTGTACAAAAAGAAAAAAAATATATATACATATATGATATATATATATATATATACAGACACACATACAAACATGCGCATGCACACACACAGACACGCACACACGCACACACACATACACACACTACACATACACACATAAATATAGTTAATCAATCGTCGTTTCATCGAAGCTTTTCACTGTAGGTACATACGTATACTTATAATACGATATGTATCCTTCTCTCAATCATTCAGGGTAGCATTCGCATAAATAGCTTTTACGATTTATATTCTACCTGTACGATCAGTGCAGTTCAAGGAAAGCGAAGCGAATCGATGAGATCGTAACAAAAACGAGTCCCGTCGAATTTTTCAAACCTTCAGGTAATAACGAGTGCATTCTAATAGCCAGAAGTTATCCTGACCACGAATTAAGTAGAATCGGTATTGTAAAATTAACTATACATGTCTTGCTTTATCGTCGAATCGGTTCTTTAAAAATTGTTGTTACGAGGTCAAGAACTTCGTGATTTAATTTAGTATAATTCCTCTGTGATACGATCGAAGATACACTTGTAGAGATTATATAGAACGTGATGAGTATTTCGTTTAATTAAATTGGGATATATTAAAGAGAAATGAACGTTACAATAGGACTACCAAACCAGTCGCGACGACTGGTATCAGATTTGTTGGTTTTGTAATTGCTAAAAGTGTTTTTGGTAACATTAACGTTTACTTATCTATTTTTGTCATACTGTTTTAATTCTAATTAAACATGTATAACATATTTAGCCTGCGCATCGAAGAGTAGTATTTTGCTTTCTTGGGAAAAGACAAACACGAATAGGGGTAGTTTTTGTTACGAGACCTTCGACTCGTTTGACATAGAAAAGAACAGATTCGAATTGACCCATTGAATTCCACGAACAAATTAATCTTGCGAATTTCCTTTTAATTTCTCTTCGTTCTAAACGAAATTCAAATGTACGAACAAAACTTGATCGATGATGATAGATGATGATCGTATTAACGACAAAACGATAACACACACAGGGAGGAATTAACTTAATACGGGTAAAGCTTGCGATTAGCTTAGATTTAACGAAGTGCCCATATTCGATGCTCGAGCGACGCTGATGCTTTGCCCGCGAAAGATACAATTTAGGAAGAACGTAGAAAGAGTAACAAAAGTCAAGTACGCCGCTCGATACTTTTTGAAACAATGAACTTCAGTGGAAGAAACAGCGAGGCGGCTGAAAGAAATTTTTAGAATATAATTCCAGAGTTAACATTCGATGTTTCTTCGAGTAATCTGCGCATCTTTAGATATACAATTACTATTATTACTGTTATTGTTCTTATTATTATCAATCGTCGCCATCATCGTCGTCATCCTTGTCATCGCCATCGCCATCAACGTCATTATTATTACTATTGCCACGCTACTATTACTATTGTTATCATTAAAAGAATAACTATTACTATTATTAAATACCGCTACTATCGTGCTACTATATCGTTACCGCTATTTGTAAGCGTTATTCTTATTACGAAGTTTCGGTGAGATTATACGAGAGAAACGTGGCCGGGGAAAACATCGAACGAAAAATCGTCAAACCGATTTCGAATCGTACGTGCCACTTGATTCTTCAGCAATATTAACCGCAGACCAAAGTATTCCATCACCTATCGTGCTTTCACAGAGTTTAGTCGAGTACGCGATCGTTCGCGTGTTCCAGGTAATCGCGAGCCGATCGTTAAAAGAAAGTTTTCTTCGAGCGAAGGTTTAAGAGGAAGAAGAAATTTAACGATTTCACCAAGCTCAATCGTGTAGAAAAGTTGCACGGAAAACAATGAAAGAAAAAAAATAGAAAAGAGAAAGGAGGAGAACGTATTACGTATTACGTGTTTAGAATAATCAAAAATCAATTCTGTATAATTATATCGATCGCAAACCCGCCATCTCACCTTGTCCTCGACTTTGATTTTCATCTTTTACATTACGATTGACCGTTCGTAGCCAAGTATCACGATGTACACGCGAGTACGGCGTTTGACAACGGCGTTCGTTCGTTTAATAAAAGTTCGAGGAGACAGCTGCTTTTTTTCCAGTAATACGTGACACTTTATAGCGACACTATGCGAACGATGTAATTGTACCGTATCGCTATATTTATTACAATTACCGATAATTAGGATCGTAGGTGTTAACGTTACAAGTGTCTACGGGCATCGTAAAAACAATTGAAAATAAGCTTCTCTTATTATTATGGCGCCGACTTAAGAGTATTCGACACATAAGAGTAATCGACACAACGAATATTGCGTAGAGGCCGAATTTGCCGATCAAGAAACGAACGATTCGATTCATCTAGTTGGAAATTATATTTTGTCGGGGGACGAAAGTATCGCTCAGTCCAAACTCGGTGAAATTCTTTTTTTTTTCTCTCCTTTTCTTATCCGAAAGATACAAAACAAAAGACGAGGAATATAAAATAAAGAGACAAAGATGCATGTTGGAAAATTTTGCCGAGGTTGACGACGAGTCGATGAAAAAAGGATGATCGTTGACTACCTATCGCTGTTTCATACGCGTTGTCATCTGCCGTGAGTGAACAAGCAGTCGTTTAGATGATAGGATGCGTTGATAAATTAATTAATTAATTAATGTCGTTAATGTTTATAATACTCCACGGACCAAAACACGTAATCCTAAATCATTAGCGTCGTATATAATTAGCTGCACTTGTGCAATGCCTCCTACGAGACCGCATAGCATCGGATTCATCCTTCGTTACGCATCGATTCGTTCGGCGATTCTATTTTCGTCGAACTATATCTTCACCCTCGTTGACAAGTATTAAAGACACCTGCACGTCCTGGCAAAATAATTTACCGACTAGTAACGTTAGCAATTTGATAAGTTGCAAAAATTGTAGATAATAGAATTCTTTTTCACAAATTTACAACTTTAAGTTGCAACTTGCAAAAATTTTAGTGATTAGACGAGTCTATTTTCTGCGGAAAGTTTATTTATTTTGTCAAAATGTGTTTAGAATTTATTTGTGTATTCTGTTCGACAATGAAATCAACTGAAAGCTCGTTCGTACGTATAATTACTGTCAGTCGATAATGCAGGTTCAAACAGTGTTGAAAATCTTGTTATACAGGTGAAAGCACGAGACGAAGGATGAATCATCGTCGAATACATTTTGAGCTTCGTCGTCGTGGTCGACAAATTTCACGAGATTAATTCTCTAAACACCAATCGACGCAGTTTAGGCAGCTTTCACCGACGCGTTCTACCCGATTTTTAATGTATAGCCATTACTATATCGTCGAAAGTCTGTCTAATAGATTCATTTTGATCTGCGTTCTCGTAAACGTAAACGATAATGCAAGCGCTTTGTGACTAGCCAAATCGAAACACATTGATCCATGAGAAATTAAATATTAGTCAAGGTAGAAAGTTACAGTTAGTTGAACTGATTTTTTAGGCAACGACGAACTGGAAGATCGTACAGTAGAATGGTGAATAAATGAGAATGACGAGCAATTTTTTTAACCCTTACGAGACGAACGGTTGGCTAATGGTAGTCAGTTGACCGAAAGTTATTCTAGTTTACAAATTACAAATAACTTTTAGGAAGATTGTTGAGTTGCTCTAACTTTTCTGATGCCATTGAAACTTATTGGAACATCATGAACGCAACCACGCATCTCATTTTGAAAATTATTATTATATTATGTTTTTTCAAACTCGACTGTAATTGTAATCTGTACTGTTATATTATTGCCTTTAGTTTTAAAAAAGGAATTACACGCAGTCTCAAAAGGGTTAAAACAAACAAAGACAAAGAGTGAAGAACAGCGATTACTATCGGACTTTTATGATAGCATAAATGCCCACGTGTATATTTGTTCGATTTTCTAGTCTATCCGATTCTATTCTTATTTTTGTACCTTTTCCACTGCATCTATCGAAGGCATGGACAAAGATCACGGATTTTATGTAACGCGAAAGTAAGATATAGATATTTCGATACACGATATCGGTGATCGCTTATCGATTGATTTTGCATATTAGGATATGTATTGTACTATGTTTAAAAAAAATGTGCACGTCTCACGTGTACGAAAAGATGTGAAGCAGTAGGAGAAACGGTGATCAAGTTCTGAAAGACGAGGAAACCGTATTAGATGAGCCTTATCAGTGTTACTATATAACAGATCGATACATTCGAGTATTATGTATATGCAATTTTCGAAAAAAAAAGTTCTCTTAGCGTAGGATTAATAACCGCATCGTTGAATCCAATACTTTTCACCGTTACTGTTTATCGATATTTTATCATTTATTACAAGCTCAACTATTCTATGAATGTCCTTATATCGTTAGGTTTTATCGTTATTCGTCACTATTTTATTCATCGTACCGAGGAATTTTATCATCGTTGCCACATCGCGTGATTATATATGATAATTAATGTTCACCGTTGCGATCGTTATTAATAATTACCGTAAATCGATTACTAGTTCACGATTACATATTATGCACGTTCAACTTGAATGAAACTCGCGCGCGATAATAAAGACAGAATGAAGCAAGAAATAGACAAGAAAGAAATAAAAGAAAGCTTTGTTGTTTACAAGGCGAAACGTATGCACGACTATTTTTGCAGCATTTCACGCAAATATAACGCGACTAGAGGGAGGAGAAATAAATAAATACATAAATGAATTAATTATAAGCGAATCTTTTCAAAAGGCTTTACAAACACGCAACATCTTTTTTCTTTGCGATAATTATGAGAAAAAATCAAGAAAAAAAAAATTGATTAATTATAGAAACAGTTCATATATATAAGCGTCTCTTCTTTGTCGTAAAAAGATTACAATGTACAATGAATAATGAATGAAAATTCGTTTCCTATTTACATTTTCTTAAATACATCAAAAATGCAAAATTCAAGTTATCGTGATTATTTTTTAAGGGAAATAATGATTTACATGCATATACAATAACAAATGCGTACACGTAGACTTTACTCACGCATTACCAACGCATTACATAAAATAATTATGCCAATATGCACAATGAATAATCATTATCGCGACCAAACGGTTGCAATGATATAAAACATCAATACGTTATTATGATAAAATCGCGAATGCACACTTAATAAGTGCATTAATAAATCGTTTCTAATCGTAAGCGTAATTTATTAATTATTATATCGTAACGACGATTGATTATCTGATTTATCGGCTGTGTTTGTAACGTACGTGATTAAGTATTAAATTATCAACTTAAATAGTAACGTGGTTCTTTTTAAAAACTGACTTCCTCCAAACTTTTAAGATCCTCCTTCTTTCTATTTCATGGTGTAACGTATAGTTTTGGGATAAAAGATCTGGCCACACCTTTTATATAAAATTAAAAAACAACTTTATTCGATATAAATCATTCGTGCTTAACTCTACTTAGCGCAATGTATGATTTCTTTGTGGATAAATCGTGCCAACCCACTGGACCCCTTTCACAATCTGCACATGCTAAATACTTTACGTTGTCTACTGTATGCGAAACACCAATATTTTCAAATGTGTACATATCCTCCACCAACCAATAGTTTGTTATCAGTTCCTGTTGATCAGCTTCACCTTCTCCCTTACGATGTATATAGGGTAGATTAAACTAAAATATTATATGACACATCTTAGCTCAACTACTAAACATTTTTCTACTCTATTGTGTTTGTATAACAGCACAACATTAACCAAAAAAGTAAACTACAAACTATACAGACTTTTAGGTTAGGTCCGTAACAAATACAGATATATCTAAACGACTTAACACAACATACAACGCTTAATGAAATTTTTACGAATATTGAAATTCTATGTAATTTAACTTTTTTATTAATGCTTCCTGTTTAAAAAAAAGCAAATGATTCACCTCAATATTAACTAGCCGGGCTGCACCAGCATTAAGCATTTTAGACGGGCAAAATGTGCAATAAACTTTCGTCTTGTTCTTTTCATCTTGATCCTTCAATGTGCTGATATCCTTATTCGTAGACATATTTCTATATTTTAGACGTTTGATATTTATAAATATTAGTCACACAACTATTTGACATTAATAACGCTAACACTTGAAACAAAATGTACTAGTCTGACTAGAGTCTAATATCATAGTCAGAAATAATCGATGACATTTCGATAATCGAACAATTAAATTTTGTCTTATCGAAGATAGCTTCAAAGCAATACGCCAAATTTATTTCTTATCTGTTCTAATCTTCTTCGAAAATATTTTAAATTTCTTCTAACCTATTGAATTTGATAAAAATATTATATGTAAATATCCTAAAAGCTTTTACAAACCATTTAAAATAAAACATTTGTCTTTTTTGATAAGTACTCACATCAACGTGTCTTTTAAAAGTTTATTTTTATATAAGATTTAGTTATTTGTTATATACTGTAATATAATCGTTTGTTCGATCCATTTCTTTCGCACCTATTAATTTCCAACCATATTCATTAAACTTTTCATCAAATGGCATTGGATCCGTCCAACGATTTTCGTTTGATTTTGGTCCAATGACAAAAATAAGATTCCCTTTATAATTTTCGATATAATTACAAAATGCCGATGAGTTATTAAAATAACAAAATAAAAGAGCATATTTGTCCGATAGAAAAAAATTGTTTTTATTATTTTCGCCAATGAAAACAACATTTTTTAAAAATAAGGGCGGTGAATATTTACTACACCACCATGAGCGATTTACTTCTACACCGGTCACGTTTAAACCTTAAAAAAGTAATTAAAGATGCGAAATTTTATTTCGAAGATTGATCAAGAATAACACTGAAATTTTTTTAACAGTTAGAAATTATAAATATACCTTACGAATATCTTACCAGAATATTTTTCAAACAACCATTCTAATAAACCACAACCACATCCTATGCTTGCTAGACAAACCACTTCGTGTTTATCAATTATTTCTTTTATCCAATGTAAATCATTAATAGTTGGTAAAACCCAAAATAATCTGCTTTTATCTAATTTAGTCAAAGTGCAATTTAAATTAGCAATATCCGACCACTTTTGTTCACTGTGGAACATTAAAATTTGTTCTTCAATGTTCTCGTTAACCATGATTTTATTATATAAACACTGCTTATATTCAGAATGTATTAGATCTTCGTTATTTACTAATAGTCAGTCAAATTTCTAATTACGTAATTCGCTAATGTATATTAATAGATTAGATAATAGATTATATATATCGTTAATAGGGATAATAATTACTAAATTACTATTTAATGTATTTTAGACATAAAATTTAATTCGTTAATAAATAATATAATATAATAATTTATATTACAAAAATTCATAAATGTTAGTTGCAATAGAGTAAAAAATTAAAAATTTGATAGATTACTTTATATACTAAGGCACTTTTCAGGAAGCGCATATTATCTAAAGCACACGCACGCGCGCGCAACATACATGCATCTATTAAAAAAATTATAGTCTATTTTCAGTTTAAATCTAATTCCTGTGTTGCATAGTGAATATCATCCGTAGAAACGTTCAATAAAATCTTTTGATGTATATCATTTTTCGAGTGTTCGCATATTAACAATCTATTGGAACCCAATCTTGCGCATACAGCAAGTATTTCCGTTATGGTAGGTACTTCAATACCTGTAACACAATTGAGTAAACAATAAATAAACTTATAATGTTTTCAAATATTAGCTAGTATCTCACATTAAACAAACGAACCGTCAAAAGAGCACAGTGACTCAACTTGTCTATATGCATTTTTAAAATATACTTCTTCGATCGAAGTTCGCGTGACTTCTGCAGATACAGCAAGCAAAAATATTTTTTCCACTTTTGAACAGTGCTTTATAGCCTGAACTTTTGCCGAGGCAATCATTTCGGATACAGCTTCCGATACATCTTGAAGAGATATCGTTTCGGCATTTCGCAATTCCGCGATTTCCATAGCACGACGACATATATCCAGAGCGCGTCTAGCATCTCCAGATACAGCAGAAACTTTCCTAAAATAAAATATTTGATAAGCAATAACAATATAAGTATGATACCACAATATAAGTATTGTGATACCTTGCAACTAGCTGTACAGCTTCGCTTCTAAAACCATCATAGTCCTTAAGTCGAGACGTGACTATTTCCTGTAGTTGTTTGAAATTATAAGGTTGAAAAGTCAATCGTGTTAGACCTAAACGCGATGTAACCCGACCCATTAAAACTCTCTCAGGTAAATCCATAGTATTTGCTATAGTGATAACAACTAACTGTGCTGTTGATTTTGTTGGCCAATCTAATAAATTGTATACAACATCCTGACGTTTTGTACACAACAAGTCGAGCTACAAGAGTGATATATATTAGCAATAAATATCCATAATACCTATAAATAATATATAACATTTAAAGGAAATCATACTTCATCTACAAGAAGCAATGTCATTTTAGAAGTACCACTATGAAATCTTTTTTCAAGTGTATGGTATGATTGCTCCCATGTAGCTGTTCTACCATTCAGCTGCTTTAGAATTTGCACATAAGCTTGTCTTGGTTCTGTTAGTTTCATCCCATTAATTGCAACATAGTCGAAATCATCCAACTGACCTTTAACTATCAACTTTTGCAGACATCTAACAGCTTCATTTACAGTCGCAGTTTTACCTGTCCCTGGTACTCCACTTATATATATACATCTGCAAATTTCTTAAATTTAGTATGTAATTTAATTTTTTAAGAAACAATTTTTTCAGCATACCCTCCACTTTTATCTTCTAACTTTCCTCTAAGAAATGTAAAAATATTATTGAATTCTTCTTCCCTACAAGGTAAGGATTTTGGTACAGCACTAACATGTAATCTAGATCTAGCTTCCTGTAATGGTGTACTTGGTTTTAATAGAGCGCTTTTTCTTTTTATCAATGATGGTGTTAAATTATTATATTTTGGACGAGATTTTGGAGTGCTCAAATGAGTTTTTTCTAGACATGACTCTATGCTATTCTGCATATTATTTTTTGTTTGTGGAGTTAAGATATTTTTCTTTGCAGATGAAATTTTAATATGTTTATACATATCAGACAAATATTCATCCTCTGCATCATTGTTATTCTTATTATTTATTACTCCTTTTCGCTTATTTATTCTAACTGGTGTAGAGTTAATAGAATTAGCAGAATTTTTAACTGCTGATGAAATTTTAATACGTTTATATACATCGGCTAAACATTCTCCCTCAGTACTACTGTCATTGTTACCAACAGGTTGAATCTGTTTTGGTGTATTTTCACAAATTACTCTTTTTTGTTTAACTAATTTAACAGGTGTACTATTTATAGATGTTGATGAGTCTTGTTTCTTTGTTGTTTCATGTATTTTTAAAGCATGATCCAACCTATCGCTTCTACTCTCAGATTTATTGGATTTTTTTAATGACTTTGCTCTGGATATTTTAGAATCTGTATCACTAACATCTTCCTCATCTTTTGTTGAGGCATGATCCAACTTATCATTTCTATTCTCAGATTTATTGGATTTTTTTAATGACTTTGCTCTGGATATTTTAGAATCTGTATCACTAATATCTTCCTCATCTTTTGTTGAAGCATGAACCAACTTATCATTCCTATTCTCAGATTTATTGGATTTTTTTAATGACTTTGCTCTGGATATTTTAGAATCTGTATCACTAACATCTTCCTCATCTTTTGTTGAAGCATGATCCAACTTATCGTTTCTACTCTTGGATTTTTTTAATAACTTTGCTTTGGATATTTTAGAATCTGTACTACTATCATTTTCTTCATCTTTTTTAGATAGAATACGATTTCTTTTATTATTTCTTGTATTTGAATATAAAGGTTTATCTTCTAAATTCTGTTTGTCAATAGAACTGCTTGGAGTTTCTTTTTTTTGCTGGTTTAATAATTTTTTGTTATTCTTCATATTAGACACAATGGAGTTTATAAATAACTTATCCTCATTATAATTAATGGCTTTTCTATCCCTTAAAGATGGGGAATTTATTCTACGTATTGTATCACACTGGTAATAAGAAAGTCTTAAAGGTGGTCTTCTATTTCTACCTTTCCTCGATATATCACCATCAATTTCTCCTGGTATCAATTTGCTATCATCATTTGCCTTATTTTTTATAGAATTATCTTTGTTGTCAATATATGATCTTTTATTCTCTACTTCTGGATAACATTTTTTCTTTTGTCTTTGAAGTCGGCTGCGAGATTTACGAATAGAATTTTCACATTCAGAATCTGTATCAATTTTATATAAACTTTTTTCTGTAGATCTCCTAAGCTTAATTTTAAGAGAAACTTGATCTTTCTGTAAGATGTTATTTTTTGGCAACGTATACTTAAACTTTTGAAATACATTTTCTGATTCTGAAGATATATTTAGAACATTTTTTGTGTCTGGAGATATATCTATAACATTTTTTCTCCTTTTTTGTATCTTAGCTGCTGTAATATCACCACATGATTCTTGTTCTTTATCCGAATTTGATTCTGTATCGAGAATGATTGTTATCTCATGATCTGAACATTTATTTAATCTCATAGACATTTTAACTTTTTACTTCGATCTTTTAATTTTTGTTAACAAGTTGTATTTTACTAATTGTAACGTCTCTAATATATTTTGTTTACATACTTAATCGAACATAAAGTATCAAGACAAAATAATTCTGCTTACGTTATACATTTTTCTATATATTTTCATAAAGTAAATATACTCCTACTTTGTTTTACATAAATATAACTTCGTAGCATTTATTGTTTTAGTTAGGATGAAAACGATACAGAAACACTATTTTACAAAACACTCTTATAATAATACTTGCAAGTACATATGTACCGCCAATTTTATCCTTTTAACCATGACCATAGATAAAGTAGATTAAATGTATTGACCTCGCATAGTTGATATTGTTTATACATTAACTCCCTCTATAGTGCTAAATATAGGAATTATAACTAGAACACGATCACCATACTGCGTAACATATCGTTGAAATTATTTTTGTAATTTTAATAAATTTTAATTAATCAATTTCTACCTTATTATAGTAATATGAGTGAAGATATGAAAACTCTTTGGTGCGGAAATTTAAGCGATAAAGTAACGGAAGAAATTCTATACGAATTATTTTTACAGGTTTGTAATTCAGAAGACATTTCCCAATAATATTTGATATTTTAGTAAATAACAACAAATTTCTAGGTTATTTGCAATAGTTTTATATTAACTTCTCGTACACTTTTAAGTATGTGATTTGATACTACGTGACGACGTAATTAGTCTAAATTATATATAGAGTGTTTCACGCAACTATTTCACATTATAACTCTGTTACAAGTACAGTTACAGTAAGATCTCAGAGTCAGATGAATGGTTACATCCGTAATATTCCTCTCGTCATTCTACGTTAAAAAGTATTGAAATACAATGGAGGAAAAATGATTAATTATCTAGATATGTTAACCGTTTGTGTCCCAAACAGCGCGATCGCGTTGTTTAGATTTTGTGTTAAAAAGTCCCAGTACATTTGAACGCTACAGACGACTAACGACATTTTGTATTTTATTGTTATCTTATCAGTAATTTTTATTGAACAAAACTTGAAATATTTATAAACTAATAGTACGCATATATAATAATATAGATCTATTTCTTAAAGTAACAAATCTGACAAGTGCTATCGTGCTGTTTGTTTCTCTTCGCAATCGATCAAGACAAGCGCTGTCGCTCTGTTCGGCATTTTTTGACCCTGTTTTTTCAATGATCCTTAGGACTCAAATGGTTAATTTTAATTTTGCAAAATTTATCACGTGTAAGACAAAAAAATAGAAGTATTGCGTCACGTCTTTCCTTGTTTTTCATATGATATGCTACAAAATTACATATAAAATATCTTAACTAATCAGTTTTCTACTATATTATTCTAATACTTTTTTCATAGAATGACAAGAGGAATCTATCTACAAAAAAAATATGCATTTCCATTTAGAAAAATAATACAATTGTTGATTGCACATGCACCATTGCACTTCTACAGACTCTTTGAATCATTCAGCTTTCTCTTTTGACATTTTTATGCAACTGCACTGACAATGGAGTTATGACACCAAGCAAGTGCATGGATCCAGAATATTATTTTGAAATTTCGTTGTAT